TTTTAATTTAAGTCTAAGCATATAAACTTCATCTATGAATATTCTCGACCGAATGAGACAAATTCATTTGAAATAAAATCACCCATGCATTCAGTTAAAGATGTGATGAACCACAAGTGTACTCCTAACAACTCAATTGAAAAATTGAAAATGAAATTGCAAGAAATATTCAGAAGAACAGTTTTAAACTTCGTAGAAGTGTTTATTTCAATTCTTCCATAGTTTCGCTTGACAGAACTTTATCCGGCGTCCAAAAATCGTTATATTTCTTGACCTAAAGAAGGTATTCGATTCTGTCGACCGAGAGGTACTCTGGAGATGCTTGGCTCTAAAGGGAATGCCAAGAAAATACATTGCACTGATCAAGGGACTCTACTCGAACTCATGCAGCCAACTGACAGCTTACGGCGAGCTGTCATCGGAAGTGGTGACAACTAGTGGTATTCGTCAGAGATGCCCACTATCCCCATTTCCACTCAGTTTCAACATAGATGTACCAATGAACTTAACCCTAACTAACTTCAGAGACTCAATGATTGACTTGTTACTAGGGAATAATCACATTGACTTAGAATATGCAGATGATATAGTCCTTCTAGGTGACGACGCTGACAAAATTCAGAGTCTTCTGAATGCCTTGAGCTACAATCTACGAATGTTTAGCATGCGATTCTCTCCCGTCAAATGTAAGATGATGTTACAAGACTGGACTACACTGACTCATAGCTTAGAAATAGGGAGTGAAGTGGTAGAGCACGTTGACCGCTTCACTTGTTTGGGAAGTTGCATCAGCCCCAACGCGTTGATCGCTGACAAAATCTCAGCATGGATACAGAAGGCTAGTTTCGCATATGCCGGTTTACATGGTCTCTGGCATAGACGTGATATCCGACTATCGACCAAAGGGTGGGTGTACTGTTTAGTCGTCCGCTCCGTCCTCCTTAATGACTGTGAGGCCCAGTCATTGAGAGTGAAAGACATGAAAAGGCTACCTGTCTTTGATCATAGGTGTCTGCGTTCTATCTCCTTTGTTAAGTGGTATTATAGGGTGACCAATATTGAGGATAGGAGTTGGTCAAATGCTAGGTAGGTGGGAGGGAAAACGAATCGACGGGGCTGTGAAGTCACGCCGATTGAGATGGTTAAAACAGGTGTTACGTATGTCCAGTCATCGCCTTCCTCGACGGGCAATTTTAGGTGATATAGGGTCAGCCTGGAAAAGAGCTAGAGGCGGTCAAACCAAAACATGGCACCAGTCAATGAAATACATAACAGTTAGTTTAAACCAGCTACGTAGGAATGTGTAGACTTCCTGGTTGGGGTCCTCGGGACGGTAGAAACCAATGGTGGCTGCAGACAATTGGTGATATGACTCAAAATCGTTCTCAATAGCTGATGCAGATGCATCCACTCCTTGTGACTTATAATTTCCAATGAAACTATATTGTTCTTTGTTATTACTATTCCTTTTGTCTCATATCCCTGTCTACTGTCTCTATTTTGCATTTCTTCTACTTTCTTCTCTTGCTTTGTGTGGTACATGAAGTGTGGTGACTTGAACTGCTGCACATCAGTGCAAATCTCTATGCTGAAAACAGTCAGACAGACAGGACTTTATACAGATAACACTATTTGTTTTTCCAAACGCTTTTATTAGGTTAAGACTATATTTGATAATGGATAATAGTAGACTTTAGATAGTCTGAGATTGATATCAGATAAGTGACAGTAAGTACTTTTACTGAACTTCAGTCAGTGCCAGATGTTGAATGTCATAGCTTTGAATACTAGATTACTGATTGATATTAGGTATCTATTTACTGTAAATTTCAAGCTTCATTTGCACTTGCGATGTTTACAACCTTTGGTTTATAAAAGTGAAGTAATTTACAATCCCTAAAAGTGATTTGTTTCTTGTGAAAAAGAAAGTGAACAATCATTCGGTAGCTTAGTTGATAACTCCACAGACTATGTGGTCATGATCCCTACGTAGTATAAACACAAGTTGCTTCAAATACATATTTCATTAGTTAGTTGGAGGATTTCATCATAAGCTAACATCGGTTAGAGGACCACTGGAAAACCAGGGAATACTGGATGGCTGTTTCGTCCTAGTTTGGGGCTCTTTAGCTCACTAGCGACTGGCCCTATTCAGGTAGTTACCTGGGGAAGTCGTGAAAAGTGGGGTACAGCAGGTTGGGCGTCAGGCCAAATACTCGACGACAACGCTGGCTAGTGGTCGCACTATGTCATGAATCGGCAGAAGTTTGAATTCGTGAGCCATTAGATCGGGTTCAAGTGACTTAATGATCTACGAGCTCGCCTTGTAAACAGAAGGTCCGGGGTTCGTTTCCCGGTGCGTGCGTTGTGTGAAGAGTCCCAGACTAGGACGAATAGGTTGTACAGTACTCCAAGGTGGTTTTCCAATGGTCCTCCAACCGATGTCAGCTGATGGTGAAATCCTGTAACCAATCAATCAAATCTCTACAAACCAATACTTGAAAATGCATATTCGCTAAAGGGATTTTGTCAGACTGTGAACATTCACCACAGCACCCACAGCTCCAACCTTTGTCTCCTCAGGTAAAACAAGAAGTCTTTTCAGAAGACTTTATGCACGTACGTTTAAGTATAAAAATTCCACTATACCATATTTGGCACGTACTTTACGTGATGAAAATAGTGTTAGTTATGAACTAACTAACCTTCTTTGCACTATTAAATAAACCATTTCCTCCACCGTTACAATATCAACGTTTATTGTTATTGTACTTCTTATATTTATAGTCCTCTTAATTTTTAATTTGTTCTTATCTGTTTATTTTTCCTTAAGTGTGATCATCATTTAAGCTGTTATAACTGTTAATTTTGTATTTCCCCTCACTATACTATATTAACAAACATTAGATTCAATAATCTATAACATGCTAAAATTTCCAAACTGAATCGACAATACTGTTTGAAACAAACTCATTGTTATTATTATTATATTCATTATTCTCATTTTGTACTTCGAATATTTTTGACTTTATACTGTAAATATGGTCAAATTCCTCTGGTTAATTTTGTTTATATTTTGAGTAAATCAGATGCAATATTGTGACAAATGCTGAGAATTCCATTCTGTATTATAAGTACTGTTATTGGAATAAAGTGGATTATTATTATTACCATTTCATTAATTCTTAACTGAAAATATTTACTCCTGCAATTCTACTACCACCTAATATATAATGGTGAGTGTGACAAAGGTATCTGAAAAGAAGTGTATGTCCTATAAACGCCTGTCCAATTCAGTAACATAAATTTAGGGTAAAAGTAATTCTAAATCTAATCTGCAAAGTTTTCTGTTTTTCTAGATGCATGTGACTTCATTTACTTCTGCAGCAAGCTAAACCATTTATAGGATCACAGAACCAAAAAAAGCATGAATTCTAAGACTGCCTATACATCCGTAGCAAGATAAAATATCGCACCTCCGAATATTTATTAAACCACGATGTTATACTAAAATCTCCCTATGATTATAGTAAAGAATAGCAACACAATTTTGTGACATAGGCTGCAAGACTTCGATGACTCTTACCAGTTTAATATTTAAGGATGGGTCTTCTGAGCTGCATTGCTTTCAAAGAATTACCACCACCGAGAGATATTTAGATATACGTGTGACCGTCAGATGGATATACTAGTACATGTCCCATTATTTTCAGTATGTTACCTATATATATATATATATATATATTACTGAGAATGACTGAAATTCTTCCTCAAAAATAAAATGCAAAAAGTTCTTCCCCCATTGTATTCAGGCTTTGGATACACATCACATATTTTATCTTGCTGAGTAATCTATTCAAGTAAAATATTTTTTACCTCAGTGTTTATCTATCTGTCCTTGGAAGCTCAGAATAGGAGTGACGATTATGTTGGGCTGGATCGTGCAACAGGCAGTGGAGAGTGACAAGACAGGAATATGTTGGATTGATAAAAATTGTCTATAACACTTAAACTATGCGGAAGGTTTTTGTTTAATGCTACACAAACTCGGAGATCTTCAGGCGAAAATCAACAAGTTATCAGAAGAAGAGAGCAAAGACAGGACTTCAGGTGAAAAGAGAGGAGACAGAAATGATGAAGATGCCTAACCAATGACAACAAGCAACAAACAACACAGTGGGAGAAATCTTAAAGGAAGTCAACTCTTCCGCTTATATAGGCAGCATCGTTTCAATTGCAGGCGGCGCGAGTGAAGATGTCAAAACCAGCAACAATCGGAATGGGAGGAGAGAGCATCCATCGCTCATCAGAAATCATTGTGAAAATTAGCATAAAGAAGGGGATTCGAACTTTAACCACTAATGTCAAATCAGTTCTTCTATACGATCCAGAGACGTACACTGAGCATCACAGAAAGCATTTCCACCAGTTTGCTGCAGACTTTCGTCAACAATTCCTCTTTTCAAGTATTGGTTTGTAGGGATTTGGTTGATTGGTTACAGGATTTCATCATGAGCTGACATTGGTTGGAGAACCAATGGAAAAACTTGGAGTATTGGACAGCTGTTTCATCCTAGTTTGGGACTCTTTAGCAATACGTATCCACCAGGGTTCAAACCCAGGAACTTCTGGTTACAAGGCGAGCTACATACTACAGGTAAGACGGCCAGAAATCATTAGTGAGAAGAAACTCTTGCAACAGACTAATCCAGAAGCTATCGCCCAATGAATATGCCGAAGGAAAGGAAGATGGATCAGGAATACACTAAGCAGGCCGTTGAGTGACATCACGCATCAGTCAGGAACTCAAACGGGAAATAATGAGGTGGCTTCTGATCCAAGTACGATGTGGTGCAGATCGTTTGAGGAGGAGATGAAGGCTTATGGGCAATCATGGAGCCAGGTTAGAAGGACTGCAGAGCACAGAGTGAATTAGAGGTGTATTGATGAAGCTCTATGTTCCACTTGGAGCCCAAAGGAATAAGAGTACATATATAACACTCAAATAGTTTATTTTTACAGTAGACAAGAATTTACAAATCTCACCACGCAGAAACACACAAACACACAAAATAATATTTTGTTTCTTTTGTATGAAGATAAAATAATTCAATGAGCACATATTTCTGTGCTCAAGTAAATGCAAAAATTTGTTTTTTTAATTTTCAGGTAGATAGGGATGATTGAATGATGCAGTATCATCACCTAATGAAAAATATTGCTTCCCATACATGAGAACAACTACACAAATGATTTCTGTAGATTTAAGCATTTCACAGAACGAGCAGGCAACAATGCTCCAGGTACAGTTTTCTGTGTTAATTGATTGTATGGTGTAGTTTGTCTGATGACATGATAATTATTAGAGCAATTATTACTATTATTATTATTATTATCATTAATGTTATTATTTATGGTGTCAGTATTACTTTTCTCATCATTATTACTGCCAGATTTTGAAGATACTTCACCAGGTCCTTGCCGACGTAGCATAGAAGGAAGTTTGATTTGTTCTAATTGCTGATAATCTGATATATCGTTTGAAGGTACTAAGAAACCAGATTTATGATTATTGTTATTGTTACTATTACTAATGTTATTATTAATATTAGATAATAGCCAAATTCGTTGTTCAGGCTTACCGTTTGAATGAGTAATATGTTCATCTGAAATTTTAACCGTACTTTGCCTGTTATTATTATTATTATTAATATTATTATTGTTCATTTCATGATATTTTGGTTTAACTGACTGACATTTAATTGTATAGATCTGATCTGAATTCAATGTTATATGATCATTATACGTTGGTGTAGTGGCATTCTGTGATCGCATATTATTCACAGATCCTGTCAACATTCTTAATTCATCACAGGATTTAGATAATGTGGAATTTCGTTTATTGTCTAAATCACTTTGTGAGTTGTCACACAGAGCAATATCATTAGGCGATTTTAACTGTTTACTGGGTTTGAATGTTGCTGGAATAGTTATAGGCTGAGCAAAATACTTAACTGAGCCATATAAAGAGCCAACACTGACTGGTGAAAATCGTTGAATAGTTCCATCGAATGTTGTATGTGTTGTTGATGTTGTTGCTGTTGTTGTTGAAGGATAGGATAGATGATGTGAATGGTTCACAAGATCAGTTCCAAAGGAATTTGCAGGATTTTGACATAAATATTTATTAGTTGGACAACCTAAATGATGCTGAGATTAGGTAAAAAGAACAGGTTGTGATCATTTTAGAGTGATATCAGAAAGTAATGAATTATACAGATACTTCAAGTATTTTATTAGTTTTATATTAGGCCTCAAAATGTTGCACCATTGTCGACTGGTGGTCTTATGCAAATCCTTTCAAAGCGTCTTCGAGAATATTACATGGCTTGGCTGCAAACAGGAGGCATTAATTCAATCAGAAACTCTAGAATTCAACAGCCCATCAACACCTGTCACAGGATCTCAACTAACTCGTCATTTAGAGTGATTCACAAAGCGAATAAAAGTCTACCACAAATGGTATGTTTCTCACTTCTTCCTACTGTAGAACGCCTCAACATATCCATCAAAAAGTAGGAGCTATATGTGTTCAAAAGAAATTAGTTCAACATCTACACTTCCCATGGATCTAGTTCTTTTTGACCTCTTAGTTTTCTTTGCTTTTCCTTCCTTTTATTTTTTTATCTTCCCTTATAAAAGTATTATTTCATTCTGTTTCCATGCACATTGCGTTCACACCTGTCTTCATTAAACATTTTTTCTTACATATTACAAAACTATTTTCTAAGTCTATGTAATTTTGTTTTCATGCCCTTTGTGATATGTTATCATATCTCTTATCTCTATAAAAAATGTCTCAACAATTAAACGTATTCAGACGTTAAAAATATGCATGAGTGGCTGACTGTATTCAACATGCCGTAAACTTATTCAATACAGCCTAAACAAAACACTCTAACTTATCCTATTTCCAAAGTATTATTTCCTCTTTTAGGTTAAAAGAGTGATAGGTATATTGCGCCAATTTTGTATTAGTAAGAATCTAAATCATCAGTAGTAATTCCATGCAAGGAAGGAACCTCGGAAGCCTTACGCAGAATTCTTAACAAGGCAGGAATAAAAGTGGCTGGCACTCAAAACCACAAACTCAATTAGAAACAAGCTTTGTCGGTTAAAGGATCCTGTGGAGCCGTTAAAACAAAACAATTTAGTTTATCTAATACCCTGCAATGATTGTCAGGTCAAATACATAGGTCAAACTAGTAGAACAGGGGCAGTCAGACTAGCTGAACATAAAAACTTAGCAAAATCTAGATTGGTTGACCCGAATAAGATAAGAAATCTAGAGAATAGTTCAGCTATAGCACTACATTCAGTCACACACAACCATACAATTGGATGGGATAGGATGACAGTTTTAAAATCTAATGTCACAGGGTATAGGGAGAGATTGATAACAGAAGCTTTGTTTGTCGAATCAACTACAAATACATGTAATAGGAATGATTCATCACCTGGAGGGTCCTAAATGCTTTGCCACCGACGCACATTTATAAAGAGAGGACCGTGAGGCCTCCCCACTGACAAAAACTACACGCCCGAGCACACCTAATTACAGTCCGTCGCGAGTTTCAACCCATCGAGGTGCAATGGTGACCCTCCATCCGCGGCCAGAGCATTCTTGATCACCCTGAACCCGGCGCCAGGTAAGTTGATAGTTTAATAGAAATCGTTCTTTTAAAATAACAATCTCATTCTCTTTGAGATTCATACAGCAGAAACCAGCATACAGAAAGTCCGTATGCTACCTCAGTGATCCATTTTATGAGATGAAAACTGAAAGGTTTCAGGCTTTACAAAAATTGATTATCATAGCGCAGTAGTTCATGGGATAGTTCTCCAATGTTTGAAACACTTTGATTGGACATTAGTAACTAGTGTGATGTGTCTAGTCCTTTGTTTACTGCAGACTGAATTCTATCAGTCAGGTTTGCAATGTGGACACCATTCTAGTTGGCTCGCCATCACGGTGCACTGTGAATTGTTGATATTAGATGGTTGGAGGCAATCGGCAGGAAGCTGTGGACCTAAGTTTCGTGCTAGTTCGCACTCACCAGTCAGCAAGGCGTATCTGCAACCTTGAAGGAATTCATGTCCCTTCTGAGAAACACTGAAAACAGTTTTCTAGTCACAGTGGAAACTTTACCAATCATTGAGGTATATATTAAAATTGACCTAATGAGCTGCAGGTAGAGCAACCCAGATCCTACGAGTGACCATTACCATTAATAGACAATTATAATTATGCTTGTCTACTTCGCTGTTAAGTATACAAACAATAACCTATGGGTAAACATCTTCAAAGAATGTAAAAGCTTTTGAATAAACTTATATAAAAAAGCCATAGTGTATCTGTATAGCTAAGCAGTTACTAATCAAAAGTATTTTTTTCGTTATTCCAAATCCTGAAGTATGTTAATCATTGTAATCTGAGGATATACAGTCTAAGAGAATGGGGAACTTACTTCGACAAATTTTCCTGAATCCATATTTAAGTTAAAGTCAGGACTTGGGTATGATGTCATATTCCATACAGATATTCCAGGACGATCTCTTTCTCTATCATTGTTCTTTTGCAGACAAACTAGAATTCATATAATATAAACAAAAGTAAAGTAAGTGAGGATATTATTATATTATTATTTCATGAATTCAACTATTTATTTTACTTTTCAAGTATTGGTTCGCAGGAATTTGATTGATTTCATGTTAGATCACGAACTGTCTTCAGTTAGAGAAACACTAAAAACCAGGGAATAGTAGACTTCCGTTTCGTCTTCATCAGTAGGCATCAATAACCCAAAAAAGGGAATCGAACCCAGGAATTTTAGGTTTCAGGGTGAGTTCATTGACCATGCAGCCAGTGGAATAGAATCCAATGGCCAGTCGACGAATTCTAACTTCTGCCGATGCGTAACATATAACACAACCGTTAGCCAATGTCTTCGGGCAAGTATCTGTCCTCACAGCCAACTTTTTATACACTAAATGATTAAGTATCCAAGTATTGGTTTGTAAGGATTTGATTTATTAGTTACAGGATTTCATCATGAGCTGACATTGATTAGAGAACCATTGGAAAACCTGGGAGTATTGGACAGCTGTTTCGTCCTAGTTTGGGACTCTTCATCAGTACGCACCCACTGAGGTTCGAACCAAGGACCTTCTGGTCGTGACCAGTAGGGTGCAGCAGGTCGAGTGTGAGGACAAATACTCGCCGAAGACATTGGCTATGGGTCGCGCTATATCGTGAATTGGCAGAAGTTAGAATTCATGGGCCTTTGGATTGGGTCCCAATGGCTTAATGGTATACGAGCTCGCCTTGTAACCAGAAGGTCTTGGGTTTGAACCCTGGTGGGTACGTACTGGTGAAGAGTCCCAAACTAGGACGAAACGTCTGTCCAGTACTCCCAGGTTTTCCAATGGTTCTCTAACCAATGTCAGCTCATTAAGAAATCCTGCAATATTCTTTTTGATAACTTCTTCATCTGGCTCTACAGTTATATATACATCATTGGTGTTTTAATTCCTCTGCCTCCTTTATTTGTATCTACCAGTTTGACTACTTCTGTGGAGCCAGCTACATTGAGTGTATAATTTGGCATGTTCATCATCAGATTTATGGACATCATCCTGCGTAGTTAAGCAAGGGACAAACAAGGTCTATTTTTAGCTCTGTTTTGCCTCATCATGTAGATACTGAACATAAATTCGATGTTAACAAGGCTTTCAAAAGTATCTGCCATACTCCGACTAATCTTAATTTTACCCTAGGAATTCATCTACTTCACATTTCTGAATTTGTGGGAACCCACCTGAAGAAGCTTAATTTATGCATTCAGACACTTTCTTTACCTTGTCCATCACTATTTAACTATAGTGATCTGACTATTTCCGTTTCCGGCTGTCAACTTTTTGAAACTGTCTTTAATTGTCGCCTAAACCTTATTCCTAATTTTATCTGATATTCAATTTAGTATTACATTTTTATACATATTGTAGCTTACGTAAGCTTTTGAACTGTAAATCTATTGATCTTAACAAATCAGTATTGCTTAAAAAGCATAACTGTTGTCAATAACTGTTACTCTTTAAACATTATGTATGCATATATATAAAACTGTACAGTTAGATGAGTAAGTTATCAAAGGGAATAATCTTTCTCTTCATTTTGTTTTCTAAATGTCTAAGTGGAAAATTCTGCGAAATTATCCATTAAAAGCAAAGTTTTCAGAGCATTAATAATGCTGAAATTATTTTCATTATTATCACGTATAGTTATGAATAAAGTACAAGTTGGTAAAACTGAGAAAAAAATAAAAACAAACGAAGTAATTAAAAGGAATAGTCTGATTTCTGAGTGAGCATATAAGCTGTAGCAAGACAGACTTTCTGCACTTTGTTTTCAATATAGGTGAATAAGTGAAAATAAAGGCGATCAATTACGATTAGAAAGGGGACTTAGATCAATGCAAGAACTGGCGCGGAATTATGCTCCTGTCCATTCCAAGCAAAATACTAAGTCGCATCATCCTGGAGAGAATTTAACACACCCTAGATTAAAAACTTCGACCGGAACAGGCTGGATTCAGGTGGAACAAGTCATGCATAGATCAAATCGCAACACTACGGATCATCATTGAACAGAGCTTGGAATGACAGTCAGCTCTCTATCTCAACTTCATTGACTTTGAAAAGGCCTTCAACAGTGTCGATCGAGAGGTGATTTGGCAACTACTTCACTACTATGGGGTGCCACCGACAATTATACATCTCATCCAACAGCTGTACGACAATGCTGCATGCCAAGTAATCCACAACGGGAAACTTACGGAATCCTTCGAAGTGAGGACAGGAGTAAGACAAGGCTGCCTACTATCGCCAATGATTTTCCTGATTGCAGTAGACTGGATAATGCAACAAACAGCGGGCAACGACGAAATAGGCATAAAATGGACTCACACAAAAAACTTGGAGGATCTGGACTTCGCCGATGATATATGTCTGATTTCCCACAAACTGGAAGATATGCAAGCGAAAAGCAACAAGTTGACAGAAGAAGCATCAAAGATAGGCCTTCAGGTGAACATAGAGAAAACAGAGGTGATGAAGTTTCCTGGCCGACATCAACAGCAACAACAGCAGACAACAGTCGGCATAAATGGTAGAAATCTGAAAGAAGAAACCTATAAAGCATCGTTTCAACTACAGGTGAACGGAACTGATGGGAATATCAAAGCAAGGGTCAGGAAAGTAAGGCAAGCTTTCATTACTCTCAAGTCTGTGTGGAAATCAACAGCACTTAGCATGTAAAATAAGATCCGGATTTTCAACTCCAATGTGAAGTCAGTGCTACTATACGGATCAGAGACTTGGCGCGTCATGAAGAGTACCTCAAACAAACTACAGACCTTCATCAACAGCTGTCTTCGCTCAATAATCAAGATCAGATGGCCAGAAGAGATCAGCAACAGGGAGGGATCTCTGGGAGCGAACCAATCAGGAACCGATTGTGCAACAAATATGCAGAAAGAAATGGAGGTGGATTGGCCATACTCTGAGAAAACCATCAAGTGACATCACAAGACAGGCTCTCTCGAGTGGAACCCGAACGGGAAGCGGCGAGTTGGTCGTCAGTGCGAGGGTGACATGGAGGAGGTCACATGAAGAGGAGATGAAAGCGTGTGGCCAGACGTGGAGCCAGGTGAAAACGTTGGCAGAGAACCGAACGCAATGGAGACGTGTGGCTGAAGCCCTATGTTCCTCTAGGAACTAAAGAAAACAATTATAATAATAAATAATTACAATTTGAATTTTCCCACAGATTTAGTTGAACTCATGTGATGATTTCATATCACATGCTTAGAGGAATACTCTGATCATTTCAGATTTGTTACTTTTGGCTGTTTTTTGTTGTTGTGTTTTGGAAGGTGTTTTATCGACTTTTTTGTTTTACGCATCTAGAATATCTGTCTATCACGTTTATCTACACAGTGCATGAAAACACCCCACAATAACTTTTTTCCTCAGCTCTATTGTCTTCTAAAAACTGAGATTTTTAAAAATGTTCCATTTTCACAAAATGACGACTGACTAATCTCTGTACTCTTTGAAGTCTTATCCCTGTCGTCAGGTTTTCAATAAATTTATTAAAATGAATTTTTATTAACCTATAACAAAAAGTGTTTACATTTAATGAATAGGCAAAGGGGAAGACGACTCGTCCATTCTTATTTACTAGATTGTAACATGATTGTTACGATGATAAAACAAAAAGAAGAAGTCAGAAACATTTTTAATGAAACCATATGACTTATAAAGTTAGACTTTTTGTGAGTCATTACATAATCTAGAGAAATAATTTGTTAGTGTATGTGTATGTGGGTGTGTGTGTGTGAGCTCACGCCTCAAAGTACAGGTACACAAGACGGTGGATAAATATTTTTTATCATGTTAGCTCACATAAATCATGAAGACGTGTCTTTATCAAATAAAACACAAAAGACACTTTGTGTATGTATCGAAATAAGCAGTCGATCTTACAACAAAATAGGAAATAATGCATAAATGTGATTTCATTAAACATTTTATCTTCACATATGTAACATTTTCTAACTTCTAGTTATGAAAGAATCTTAACAACAACAAAAATATATACCAGCAATGAAATATATATTCAAAGCTTTATTAGTTTCTCAACTAACTAAGTTGTTTGCCTACATGTTACTAATATGAATAATGTCTTTTCTCAATGAAATAAATTGTGATAAGTAGATTCATATGTACTGGAATTATAGTAATGTCATTCAGACTCAAACAATCACTTTTATGTAGGAAGAAGATGAAAATTACTCAGATTAGAGTAGATTTTCTCTCTTCTGGTTAGTTTGATCAATGAATCATGTTGAAACTAAATGGCATCAGAGGTCTCTTGATGGGATGTACATCGACTGTGAAGGGCTCAGTTTAGGTAGGTTTTTTATTGATTTACGTTCCCACTGGAACATATGGTTTCAAGCTAGAACTTTGAAGGTTCACTAGCAGAGGTTTTATTCTTACTGGATGAGGTTACTAGCCTCCCACCTAACACCTTCCCTCTTTACCGGCCTTACTACCTGACTAGCGAGGTAAAGGAGTGCGTCGGCCGGGGACCGAACCCAAAATCATCTGCGTGGTTGGAAGGCATTCTACCGCTGTGCTACCAACGCAGTTTAGGAAGGTAACCAGCATATATTTCGATACTATTGTAATCTTAATTTCAGAATGCAAACTGTTCAAAGCATGGGACTGTTAATTATTTTCTGTGGACTTCAATCTTCATCTACTAATCTGGGGGGGGGGGGTTAAAACCATGCCCCCCAAGTCAGAGGTGTAACCAGATAGGTTTGGATTATTGGTAAATGGATAAGACGTCTTAAGTTTACCTTGTAACACCTTTTTCCACTACCATTATTTCTGATAGGAGTATTTGACTGAGGGAACATTTGCAGAGTGCATGCATAAAAAATTAGATTTACAATTGCTGAAACATTTTTAGCAGCGACTGTTCAATATTATTATATTAGATGGCTGGAGGCAATCGTCGGGAAGACTTGGACCTAGGAGGTCAATCGCCAATCTCGATAGCTCAGTGGTAACGTCTCTGACTGCAGCCCTACTGGGTGACACGGGTTCGTATCTCAGAGAGGTCATGAGTTCTTTCAGAACTGCAGATATGCTTTGTTGACTGGTGAGTGCCAACTAGCACGAAACCTAGGTCCAAGGCTTCCTGTCGATTGCTTCCAACCATCTAATATCATCAAATCAATGTACACGGAGATGGCGAGCTACCTTGAATGGTGTCCACATTGCTAACCTGACTGATAGAATTCAGTCTACAGTAAACAAAGGACTAGACACATCACACTAGTTACTAGTGTCCAATCAAAAACCATTCAATATATGTATATATTATTTAAACTTAATTAAGCTCATTTAGCCATAATCTGTATTGATAGGAGTAAGGATTTCCAACCAGATCGAAGTGATTTGAACCTTAGACGACCATTTCACCTATTTCGAGCTGAAAGGCTAATTCATAGACTACATAGAATACTTTGGATTTTCAAAGGGAACCTTGATGAATTTACACCTCAAAGTGTGTAATTTGTAAATTAAGAATTATCTATATTACGACTTCTTTCAAGTGACCTGGCACAATCCAAATGGTTTGAACTGATTAGGTTCTCTGAGCTGAGTTCAACTGGGTATACAATTGATGAACTCCGACACAAATAAGTGAAAAAGGCCGTCCGGCGTTTAGATTACCTCCATTCGAGTAATAAGCACTACTGGTTGACGCTAGTAGTTGCAAACTACTAATACCATCCAGTAGTATATACCGACAGTGTTACATTCGGACTAATTAGTAGCCATTCAGCTGTTGGTAATCAAAATATTTCACAAATTTATCAAAAGCCTTGTCCCATGTTGATGTTTGAGTCCAGTTACTCAAATGATTAATTTCGTTTCCTGCAAATTTCGCTAATTTATCTTGGGAATCCAGGAAACCATCAGAGAATTGCATTTCCCTTGCTACATGAATATCATATGTGTATGCAGATATGTGTACATGTTACTATCATTCATTGCTCTGAGATAAATTTTACGAAGCTCCAGGCTCTTATTTATCATTCTTTTGAGAATTATCATCGTTTCTGAATTTATAAAGATGTCTGTCTTTCAGTGTTAATGAACAATCCTATTAGAAATTTAATTGAATTTTAGATGTCGGCTTCTTGTGCAGATGCTTCGACGATGTCTAGGCATGTAATTAGAATTTAATTGGTGGATGGTGACTAGCAGTGGAATCCAGGATGCACATTTCGTCCTATTGGGACTCTTACTCTGGATATATCTGCATTCCCCAGTGGGTGATGATGTTCCCACCGAGGCTCGAACCCAGTGGCCATAATTTCAAACGCCAAAGCGTTATCCACTAGACCACTTCGGTCCAATCAATCAACGGGAAAATCTAAACTTCAATTAAATAATTAATATGAACCGTTGCACAAGAGTTGGCTCTCGTGATCCAGACGACGAGTCCCAAATAGGACGAAATGCGCATTATCCTGGATTCCACTGCTAGTCACCATCCACCAATTAAATTCTAATCCTATTAGAAGTCTATAATTTTGAAGTAAATTATTGCGTAGTGAAAAGGACTTTCAGAACGTTTGTTTCTACTTTTATTTTCCCAAGTATGGTCATTAAGTCACGTTAAAATGAATCAGTGGCTCCCACTGATTAGATTATGTAAAAAACAAATCTGTATACTTTATCGTCTAAATTTAAATTAGATAATGAGATGAATGAAGTTAGCAATGACTATTGAACACTTTTAAGAGGTGAATTACATCAAGAGTTGCCTTTTTTTTAAAAATACTGAAATCTACAAAAAAAGGTATTATTCAGTTAATCTATTTAAGTGTTCTTTTACAATCCTTGTAGCCATAACTTTTACCGATTTCATTTGAGTGATGTGAGTGAAATGAAACTTGAAGAAATGAGATTACTTTTGTTTTTATTCAGAGAAAATGTTTAGACAGTAGTCTGCCATGGTTACAGCCTTCTAATGAGACAATTATTATCCTTCTCTTTAGAAAAAAAAACAATCCGTATTTTCATGAGGCTACATGCTACTGGTTGGCTGATATGACCAGCTGGGCACCGCTAACATCAATCTGCGGTGCTTGCTAGCCCTATCGAAGTGGTCTAAACACTGAACGGTCGATTTCAACTGAGCTAGTGCACCCGATTCAATTTGGCTCAGAGAACCAAATTAGTTGAAATCACCTGAACTACCAGTAGATACTTGGATGAATCGGTAATATATCAAGTCAAATTCGAAATTTACGCATATTGTGATCTGAATAATCCCGGCTTTCGAGAAGAAATTTCACCTCGTATAAATCTCATACTTTTATAGCAACAAAACAAGTAACATTTTATGAGTATTGTGTCATGGATAGTGGATGACAAAATATTTTATTTCTGCTCATCAAGATGACGCATTAGACTATTTAGTTATTACTTTATGCCTAAAGTCAACAACTTGTGATATATCATAATTCGTTTATAAAAATTAAAAGCACACTTAGAACGCTTTCAGTCAAATCTAATTGAAGCTGAACCTTGTCAACAAGGCCTAATTAAAGCTGAACGACACTCACTTCTTCAAGTGTCGGTTTTTTAGGGATTTGAATGATTTCAAAGGTGATCGCAAACTGTCTTTACTTAGAGAACCAATGAAAACTATAAAGCACTGGATAGCTGTTTCGCCCTAGTTAGGGACTCTTCATCAGTACGTCCCCATGACCTTAACAAGAATCGAACGCAGAAGCTTCAGGATAAAAAGCGGGCTCGTTAACCAATCAATCACTCAGACCTATCAGCCCTTGATAGTTCTCGATTTCGAATGTTTCTGTAGCTGAAGTCAGTTCGTTATCGATCGTGAAACCAATCAGATCGCTGCCAACCAGTATATGAAAACTAATCTAAACTAAACCTATAATTAAACCGAAAATCTGGATACGTTACGTTGATGATACATTTGTAATAATTAAGAGAAGTGATTTAGAATATACCCATAAATTAATAAACAACATATTTGAAGACATCAAATTCACAAGAGAAGAAGAGTTAGATAACAAAATCCCATTTTTAGATGTCTTAATCAGGAGAACCAACACAGGAGATTTAGAGACACAAGTTTATGGAAAATCAACGCACACAGATCAAATACTCAAATATACTAGCAATAATCCAGTGACTCACAAACGAAACTGTGTGCAGACATTGTTTAAATGAGTTCAGATACATTGTAGCAGTCCAGAGTTGAAAAGAATGGAAGAAAAGTACCTACAAACGGTCTTCAAAAAGAATGGTTATCCACAAAATTTCATCAAAAATTGTTTAAAGTCGAATCAAAACACCAACAAGAAACCATCATCAAAGACCACAAGAAAATTCATTCTACCATACATGAGGAATATCTCTGAAATAACAGCTAGAATACTGAAACCGTTAGATATAGATATAGCACACAAACCATGAAAATCGCTTAATTCGATATTATGCAAACCAAAAGATCCAACAGAAAAAGGAGATAAAATTAATACCATTTACAAAATAAATTGTATGAACTGCGACAAACATTACATCGGCCAAAGTGGGCGTCCCCTTCGAATCAGAATCCAAGAACATAAATCAGCCGTGAAAAGACATGATATGTATTCTTTGATATCAATGCATACAGACAATTATGGTCATAAATTTGATTGGAATCATGTCAAAATCTTAAACAGAGGAAACACAAAAAGTGCCAGAGAATTCCTAGAAGGCTGGTACTCAAGCGAAAATGCAATTAAAAAACACGTTAATATAGATGAAATATACCAATTAATAAAAAGTAAATCAGGTGACCAGAAAGTTTAAAATCCAAGTCAATAGAAAGTGGTCAATACATATGTAAAGATAGTCACCGGGAGACGCAATTACATCACCTATGAAGAAATTTAAATCATTTCACTTTGTGCTAAATATTGCGCTGAAGGGGGATGTTGTCCAGAAGGACGACGAAAGCTTCGCAACTAAACCAACCAGCTCAGAGAACACTGCTAATTGCTAATCTGATGCTCCCTAATGACTGATTACATGATGGATTCGTTTGAAGTCCTAGTAGGAATTCGTAATCACTGGTATCCACCAAGACACATACTTACCGATGGCACTGGCTGGAGGTCATGCCATACATGTGATCACAGGACACCATTGTGAATTGAGATCAAGTTTGCAGAACCAGATCACCTCCAGCCACTGTTTCCGATACCAGTGACCTATAATTATATCTTTTTGGAAGTCATAATGAAGCTTAATCGGACTTCCGTGTGACTAAATCGTGATAGTCGTCACTTTTGACTTAGTTAATCAGTATTCAGATTGAATGGACGAAAACGCATTGACTTGCATAGTTGCCCCTACGTGAATATAATTTGTCTTGTAAACTAAAACAACTTACCTTGAACTTCATTACTGGAATGCGGTGTTATCCTCTTCATTGCAATTACTGCTCCAATTAACAACAAACAAAGTAGGCCAGCAACAGAAATCAAAACTGCTACAATAGTCATTGTACTCAAACCGAAACGATGTGATGATTCATCGCCTATATCATTTAATTGATGTGGCTGATAATGATTAACACTGTCAGAGATTTTTTTAGAATATTGACTGTCAAAATGTAAATCTTTTTTGTCTTTTGCATTTGTTCGAAGCGACTGAAGCCATTTTGCTGGATGTGTACTACTGCTACTACTACCACTGGGTAACGGTAATGCGTTTGAGTCAATATTATTAGGTATATTCATTTGTGATTCAACTGTTTGGGGTTGTTCATTAACAATATGCATACGAATAGCATAACGCCGTTTCAGCGATTTTGTCGAGTCAACTGGACGATCTTGTGCTATGACATGAATAGTATACTGACCTAATGGTGGATCTTCTTTACCAATTTTACATATTATAGTATTATCCAGTCTGAATTCAAAATAAGGATTCGTTTCTAATGACACGTCGATTTGTGCATTTTCTTTCTCATCAGCATCTGTAAAGTAATACGGGAATTCAATGCATGAATTGAATGGATCTTTTGTGTTTAAATTGTACTTTAAATCAATTATTGATGGTTGTTGGAATTGCTTTGCCTGACGATGATGTAAGCCACTGGCGTCATTCACACCAGTGTAAGGGATTGTTTGACTATGATGCAGCATAATTGGTGCGTTGTCATTTTGATCAATAATATTGATTGTGACACTTGCTTCATCATAAAATAGCGTTCTGTTCACATCACTTGGTGACAATGATGATGATGATGACGGGAATTTCGACTTTGGCTTTTCATTACGAGCAATAACTATAAATGGGATCTGTTGAATTTCTTCACGATCCAGAATTTTTCTTGTGCGAAGTATTCCGGTGTTTCTAGGTGAAGAGAACATCAAAAATGGGATCATTTTTTAACTCGTCAAAATTACGGATCTTTTATGTGAACGAATGTCATTCTTTAATATGGATTATCACAATCGATAGAAATTCAGTCCCTATTTTTCTGTAATAACTTACTAGGTGCCTGTTAATCTTTGGAATCATCCTTGATTAAACATTTATTTGTTCTTGGGTTTCATTTTTAGGAATTATGTTTCAGTCATGATTTCCTATTCGCAATCGTGTACAAATATCAAATATCACTTTATTTATTTCTCAGTGGTGACCAAATTTATCTGATTGATTTCGTGGACTCAATTAAAAATGTCAACCTCGCTCATAAAAAGATGGTCTCCCTAGACGTCGTCTCTTTGTTCACCAATGTTCGACTGACAGATACTATATGCTTTCTGTGACTTCATCCAATGCAACAGCATAGATCTCGGCATACCGATCCATTATCTAAAGGAGCTGTTACTACGTCGCACCTTCAACGTCTATTTCAGATTCAACGACGAAATCTACAGGTAAACAGATGGCGTAGCAATGGGCTCTTCACTCGGACCACTCCTAGCCGACTGTTTTATGACCGGCCTCAAAAACAACCCATTATCATCAACTATCGAAGACCTTCATCTCTACAAGAGATACATTGATGATAATTTCATCATTTTTCATGAGAACCTGGACCTCAAAAACTTACTGCAAATCTTCAACAACGCCCACCCAAACATCGACTTTACACTTGAGACTGAATCCGACGGAATGTACCACTTCCTCGACGTCCATCTGACAAGAAACGACAACAACTCTTTGAAAAGGTCCATATACAAAAAGCCTACATGGAATGGACAATTCATCAACTTTCAAAACTTCGTGGCCCTAAGCAGAAAAGGGAACCTGATACATGCTCTTTCCTCGAGGATTCGGAAGATATGCAGCGAGGAAGAGATTGAAGAAGAACTGCGTAATCTCCGAAAAACCCTGATGGAAAACGGTTTCCCGCCCAGGTTCATAAACAAGAACCTCAAATCTAGGAAGACTTCTGAACAAGTCCAATTCGTTCCAAAGAAAATACTTCTGCTTAATCTAGAATTCAAAGGTTACATTGAAGCAGAAATCCTTCGTAAACGCCCCTCCAAATCGCTGAGGAAAACATACTTCGCCGCTAGCCTACGACTGAGGTTTTCCTGCAAGAAACTGTTCAACCAAAACGCGAAAGAAAAGCTGTCGCATTGGGCCACCTCAACGTGTATATACCAGTTTGCTTGATCGTGCGGAGCTCAGTACATCGGCCGTACCATGCGCCGACTTGGAAAGCGCGCTGGCGAACACTAACCAGCCTGGCTAGTAAAAGGAGAGCAAAAACGTGTACACAGTTCAGTGACAGAACATCTGGTCAACTCAGGACATTCAGCGACTTTCGAAAAGTCCTTTAAAGTAATATACAAAATTCAATAAAACCTATCAAAAGGAGTGAAATCAAGACATCTGGGCACAGCTGAGGCGCTAGCCATCCAAAAGCTCAAACCCACTCTTTGTATCCAAAAGAAATACGTCCAAACCCTGTCCCTGCCATGGCCATCATTAACAGGTAAAATTTTATAAATAATGACCACCCCATAGCCTTTCTTATCTAAATTTCCAGTTTATTCATGTTATTTTAAGTTTTCTTAATCCCTGCCTACACTACCATATTTTCATATCCACACTTCCTGTTTATTTTGTCATTTTACTATTTCTACATATTTAATCCCTGATTGCATAAACATTTATCCATCACATTAGTTTTTTATCCAAACATCCTGTATATTTTGTTATTTCTACATTTCTAACCCCCAATTGCACAATGTCAATCTTCTTAGTTATTTTGCTACTTTGTTTGAGTTTTATCCGTCCTACTGTTTATTATGGGATTCTAATTCTTAATTGTAGTTTTTATTAATTTGACCCTTAACCGGAAATTATTCTGAGACTTTCCCATCCATTTGATATAAATACACGAATGTACAGCTAATATGATGACTTCGTTGAAAAGAAAATTTTCTTCGCTGCAACTGTCTTTTTATTCCCTATGATCAAATGTGTATAAGAGTTATATTGGTTCTTATACTGGTCAAAATAGTCCGGCAATGTCTTACCAGCATAGCATTGACTGATACAAGAATTTTCCTCTTTAAATTATGAAAAATACCTATGTGACATTAACTACATAAGCCACAGACCAACAAAGAATACTCTTTTCGGAAATTCACTTCAAAGATGTACAGTGGCATAGAGCTGTAAAACATTAGGGAATCACCTGTTAGGTTAACTGTTTGTTCCAGTAGATAGCAGAACATATGAGCTTATATAGCAAGCGGAATAATAAATTACATAATCTAAAAGCAGTAAGTGATGAACATCGTTCATAAATGATTACCATCAAAAATTAAAAATGATAATTGCTACGGAAGTATAACATAAAGTTCAGATGAAGACAAAAGACGAATGAATATGACTCACATATGAAATTATTGTACGAGTTATATAACGTTTAAAGCCATGGTAGTAAAATGGATTAGATGAACCGCTTCCGTACCCACAATTCAGGGTTTTCCTTATGTAAAGTAAGGACTTCTGCTGTAGACTCATTCAGTAACTTGCTATCTAATCCATATTCATAAGGTTTTTGTCTTCATCTTAATTCCTCCTTTTAAACTCTTAACTTGAAAATATACTTTATAAATATTCTGGATCTCTTACTCTTTCAAACGGTATTCTTATTTCCAAGCTCTTGAAATTTTTGTGGTAATCATTTCTGAGCGATGCTCAACACTTATCCTTTCTAGATAACGTAATTTATTAATTTACTTGATATGTAAACTCAGATGTTTTTTTACCAGCTAAAATAAATAGTTAACCTTACAAGAGATTCCTTAACAGTTACTTTACAATACTATACCACTGTGTAACGACAGAAGACAAGGACTAGGAAACAGATCGTTTCTTGAGAAAATCAACAGATATTTATAGATTTTTATGTACATTATTAATCGTTATTGTTAGCAGAGAAGCAACGTCTTCTGATTGGTTGTTTTCCTGCTGAAGGTTATTCTGTCATCTCTTTGTTGCCGTTTCTTAGACAGTCCGTTGATATATCTGTGAATCATATCCGCCCACACAAAGTCTGCTGTGATTGGTTGGTGAGTTCCTCAAGGTTAGGCTTAGTTCTTGTTTTTTCTCGTGACCCCGATTTTGGACATAAACATTAACGTCAATTGTTGTCTACAATTTTGTCTTGCAGACAGCTCTCACCACAACTGTACATCTTTGAAGTGAAGTTACGAAAAGAGTATTCTTTGCTGATCTATGTCCTTTTGGTTCTATAACAAAGGATCGTTTTTGTCAGAAAGTATAAGTCCTACATAGATGATAGCTAACAGTCATGAAATTTGTGTTTGAGGCAACCCACCAACCCCTCTCAGCCAACTGAGAGCTGCAGAAAAAGTTATTTTGTGCTTAGATCTCAGCGAAATCCAACTTATTCTATAAGAGGTTATAAGTTATGTTATTCCCTAGTTTGCCTTTTAGCTATCAGTAAATAGATTCTCAATCCATAGTATATCATTGTATTGATTTTACATTAAAATAAGTATTTACGTTAGACTAACTGGTCGTCCTTTCGGTTCACATGTTACTTGGACTAATTGGATTTAGACAGAAAGGTGATTATTAAGATGCATAAAGCGTTATTATCGCTTATCTATACGCCCCTATCAATTTCCATATAAGCATGTGTCTTTTATTTTTACGTTTTAAATTGTTTAATTAACTAATTTGACAAAATCATAAAATAGTTCTAAAAACCATAAACTTCACTGGAGCTTAGTAATCACCTAGAATTAAGCATCAAGTATGTTTTCTTTAACTGAGGTTATAACATAAGAAATGTTCACATAAACCACTTAATACATCAGTAAGACGACTAGTACTTTTACATTATTATGAGATTATTTAAAGAAGTATCATGTTGTATAAGGGAATTTATCATGTTGTACAACACGTTTTCTATGGTTTTCGTCAATAAAACCAGTACACCTTTGACTGAGTAGACCTAGAAAAGATTTCCTGAAGAGGTGATTCTCCAACGAGAAGGCAATATAAAGCAATCCACAAATTACGAATAGTGACTCATCGAGTGGAGAAGGCTCGGAAAAGTTCTCGTATTAAGTAATAATCCAAGAACACAGACCATACATTTAAGTATCAAGTGAAGTTTATTCATGACAGTGTCTGGATCTTAAATCTAGTGATGTACATGGATGGCTAGCAGATACTCCAAATAAATATTCATTAGAACTGACAAAATTCTGCTTGAAGGAACTGATATAGGATGATTGGATTTGATCGGTAGAAAACCCTTGTCAGTAAGACACATTAGTAACCTTTTTTGACGTTGGTTGTTCAGAGACATAATGCTGGTCAACCAAGCACGTGGTTCAGGTTCGATTCCTGGCTGATGCACTCCTAAACCTCGCTTGGCCGGTGGTAACCCTAGTAGACAGGGAAGGTTAGCATGAAGGTAGCAGTCCCATCTAGTGAAATTCAACAACCAAAACTCCAGAGCTTGAGCTTGAAGCTCTGTGTTCCACTCGGAGCACAGATAAATAGAAATTTTACTTAGAAGCATAGCACAGTTTACAAAAAAATATGATATTGGATAGTTAGTATGAATATTTAAACCTATATCTTGTATTTGGTGTCACTTTTTATCAAATAAACGTCACAGGGGTTTGTTTAATCGCAGAATGCATTGGGAATTCGTGATGTCAGGAATCTGTAGCAAAATCAGCAGGCATTTGGTTGAGATTTAATCAAATTAATTCAGTGATAAAAGTGTATGTGTGACATTGTAAACCAAATAAATTTATTTCTCAGAAAAACAGAGACTTATTCACTTATTCAACTGCTTCGTTTAATTTTATGTACATTCGTTCTTCCTGAAGCCTATGGAGAGCGAGAAGACGCATATACGTTTGACTAACAAGAAGATTCTAGAAAACCTAGACTTCAAGGACGATTTTTGTTCAATGTAACACAAACCTTGAGATCTGCTGAAAAAATCAAACAAGTTGGCAAAAGAAAAAGGCAGCAAAGACACGACTTTAAGTGAAAATAGAAAAGAAAGAGATGAAGATGCCTACAAACGAACAACAGCAACAACATGCATCAGTCATCATCAACGGGAGAAACCTGAAGGAAGTCAACTGTTTCACTTATTCAAAGAGTATCGTTTCAACTACAGCCCGCGCAGATGAGGATGTCAAAGTCAGGATCAGAAAAGCAAGACCGATCTTTATTAGCCTGGAATCTATGATTTTCTGAACATGTGCCAAAAAGCCTATGTCTAAAGGGAACAAATGCTTTAAACAGTGCCATCGCTAGGCATCTCCTTCACATGGGTATTGAGGTGGACGTCGCACAATCGTTCATAATTATCAATAGGTGAAAGAGCTCACTTCTCCTCAAGCTTGCTGAATCCATTTCCATCAAGCTCCTGGAACCTGATTTATGTGTTCAGAAAGAAACAGTTATCAGTCTTTCTATGCCCTGATAACTGGATATTTTCATCTCTCTTTCATCTGAATGCGTAATGCTGAAAAGTTTTCATTGTGTATGATTATTATTTTTCGGAAGTGTTTAATATTACATATATATATATATATATTAGTACTGTATGCTTATAGTGATCGAGTGATTTTTGTTTAAAATGAACTCTGTGCAAATATGTTAAATTGCTTTTGTAGATATATTTAATAATCTCTTTGGCCTGTAAGCAGCTGACGAGAAGATCACTAAATAAAAGATGGTACCACTTTATTTTGCAAAAACTGTAGCTCTTGTTTTGTTCAAACCTGGAATCGGTATGAAAATCAACTGCAATCAGCATAAGAGACAAGATCTAAGTTTTCAACATTAATGTGAACTCAGTCAGTACTTCTCCGTGCTTTAGACTCTTGGCGTGAGTGTCACGAAAAGCATTTCAAACAGGCTTCAGTCTTTTATCATCAGCTATGCTTGCTTGCTAACGGATATCAGGAGGCCACAAAGGATTAGCGACAACGGAATCTACCTAGAACTTGTTGCTAAAAAATATGCCAGAGGAAATGTAGATGTATTGGACATATGCTTAGGCGATACTTAAGTGACACCACGCACCGCACCAGGGCCTTGAGTGGAACTCGAATGGGAAACCAGGAGTTTAGTTAGGTCCAAGGATGGCGGGAAGGAGATCGTGTAAGGAAGAAGTGGAAGCACATAGGCAGTCGTGTAGTCAGATAAAAAGAACCTCAGAGAACAGGATGAAATGAAGATGTTTTGTTGAAGCAATATGCTCCACTCGAAACCCATAGGAATAATAATAACTAAAATATAAAGATTTTAATATATCAGTGGCTTACGGTTCTATGAATATTAAATTTGACGCATTAATATTGACTACATCACGAATTTCGTATGTAATATAACGATTCTCCTTTGTTCTATCTGCGTCTGTTGACTTGATTTGACCGACTAACGAATGACGAGGCAGGCCCTCAGAAATATCAAAAATATAGTGACGTTGCTCCAGAACTGGTGGATTGTCATTCTCGTCATCAACCTGTGAAATTAAAAAACAGTAACTCCATATTAATTTGTTTATTGGATATATCATGCAGTGAAACAGTATTATTTACTGGATAACATTTCGAATACAGTTAATTGCTCATGATCATCTCAACTGTAATTACACAGCTTTGAAACTTGATCTTTATGGTCCTCTTTATTCCTTCTCATTTGTCTTAGCCGTAGCGGAATTTCCCAGATGTCCGCGACAGGTGTCGAACCACTTCTGTTGCACATATTCTCAGTTAATTCGATAAATAAAGCTTCTGTTGTCAATCTCCTCGCTTATATTAAATTTTAAGGCTTTCATCTTCTCCTATCCATCTTACTGGATGGTTGTGTAATTGTATGCAGTGACAGAGCTGAGCTATTTTCTATATTTCTTACTTTATTAGGGTCGACCAATCTAGGTTTCGCTAAGTTTTGTGTTGAGCTAATCTGACTGACCGCGTTCTACTACTCTGGCCTACGTATCTGACCTGACAATCGTTTCAGGGTATTAGATTAACTAAATTATCTTGTTTAGAAGGCCTCAAAGGATCCTTATACCAATATGATTTGTTTCCAAGTGAGTTTGTGGGTTTGAATGCCACTTTTATTCCTGCTTTGTTAAGAATTCTACGTAAGGTTTTAGATGTTTCTTCTTTGTATGGGATTACTACTGACATTTCAAATTCCCTGCTGTTGGTGTTTTCATCATCTTTCTGTGTATGTTCGTCTTGAATGCTACCCTTATTAATAATAATTATAACTTTATTCTTACGATTTCCCATTTACCTCCTGACTAAGTTATCGGGGTAATAATTAACTTTTAAAGTCTCTCATATATGTCTTACTTCCCACCTTAGATTTTCTTTGGTACTATTTAAATTTTTTTACCTTATTACTTGAACATTTCAATATGTTTTTACTGCCATAAAGCAGGATGCACCGAAATCTAAATATCCGTTTAATAGTGTGGGTTTTCTGTAAAGCTTCCCTTCATGACTTTTCAAGTCGTGAGTGAACTGAATCACCTTCCCCTTTGAGTTGATTTTTTCGAAAAATCTATACATTTCTTGTATATATGTACTATGAATATATCGTCTGCATAACTCCACCATGCCTTCAGAGTGAGGCAAAACGCTTCGGTAGGTAAGTTTTCCCACTTATCGATAAAAATACTTGCCACTACTGGGAATTCTGGTGACTCCGTGACAACTCCCTCAGTTTGTATATTCTCCTCGGATTACAAGTACTCCAGAAACTGGACATGACTTCACTCTAGGCATGATATCTTCTAGTGGTATTTTGGTTTTAATTCCAAGTTCTCAGGGAGAAATGATAATTTGATATTCTAAATAAATCATTCAGGATAATATGAGTATCAAAACCGAATAAGTTTGTGCGAATTTATGATAACAAAATCCAATACTTCCTCTCTTCTCTCAGATAACAAAGCAGTATTGGATGGAGGATTTCATCATGAGTTGACATCAGTTAGAGAACCATTGGAAAACCTGTGAGTGCTGGACAACTGTTTCGTCCTGGTCTGGGACTCTTCAGTGGTCCGCACCCACCGACGTTCAGACCCAGGGCCTTCTGGTTACAAGGCGAGCTCGTAGACCATTGAGTGGGTGCGTGCTGATGAAGAGTCCCAAACTAGGACGAAACAGCTGTTCAGTACTCCCTGCAGGTTTTCCAGTGGTTCTCTAACTGATGTCACCTCATGATGAAATCCTCCATCCAATCAAACAAAATCCCAACAAAACCAATACTTGAAAAATAAAGCAGTATGTTGAAGAAAAAAAGGAATGGGTAAAATAGCTGTGCTTTGCAGCCTCAGATTTTATCACTGTTTAAAAAATTTCGTCTTAGAAGCTTTACCAATTCGTCTATTGAAAACAATTTTCGCTTGAGAAACACTGGAAGAAGATATGCCTAGCCTCAATTGAAAGAATAATCATGTGCTTTAACGCCTAGTTTACTATCATACTAGATTGTTTCTTGACTATCGAATGCAATTTTTAGCGATATTTATTTCCAGTTCATTAAAGACAGAATCTCATTTAGAAAAGAGTCTTTTCAAAAAGAAAAAGTTCTAATCACGTAGTGTAGTTAATCGTGCAGAGAATATTCAAATTTTTAGAAAAAAAAAGATATTTTATTCAATTGAAAATGAAATTTATTTAAAGAATTTTGGTTTTACTTTGTCTTTTTTCAGAGAAAAAGCCATTTTAATTATTTTATGATATTTAGGTATAACTCCGTTAACAGTGGAATACGATCTTTCATAAGGATTACTCTTTCAACATTTTGCCAGCGTTTAATGCACAGACGGAAAACATTTCTATTACACTTGTTATAAAACTGTTACATAGTCATATCTAGAAGAAGATTTATACTTCATGGACGATTTATGTTGGATGGATGATCCTTAGGCGAAAACAAAGAGTTTGACAGGTGAGGCAGAGAAGATAGAACTTCAGGTGAACGTAGAGTAGAGAGAGGTGGCGAAGGTACCTAACATCAGCAAGAATCAACCATTATCAACAGAAGTTAGAAGGAAGTCACCTGTTTCACTTATCCAGACAGCATTGTTCCAACTACAGGTGACTTTGCAGACGAGGATCTCAAGGGCAGGAAATGAAAAGCAAGACAGATTTTCATTAGTCTGAAATTAGTGTGGAAATCTGTTGCACTCAGCATAAGAAACAAGATCTAAATTTTCGACACCAATGTCAAGTCAGTCAATGCTTCCGTAGAGTTCTGAGAATCAGCGCGTTACAAAAAGAATTTCCGACAGACTGTAGACATCTACCTACACTCCATACTGAAGCTTAGATGTGTAGAAACGATAAGCGGTTATGAACTCTAGGAACGATTGAAACAAGAAACTGTCGCCCAGCAAATAAACCGGAGAAAATGAGATGGGTCGGAGACATGCTGAGAATAACGTAGAGAGACATCCCCTCGATTGGGACCTCACTATCCACGACTTTCTATTGGAACCCAGATAGCAACCTACCTGTATAGGGTCAATCACCAGGGAGTATCAGATTGATACTAAAGTTACAGTAGGTTGGATGTGAGGACAAATACTCTCCGATGACAATTGCTTTTGGTCACGCCATATCGTGAATTGACAGAAGCTGGGCTAGCCACTGGATCGGGTCCCAATGGCTTAATGGTCTGCAGGCTTGCCTTGCAGCCTGAAGGTCTCGGTTTCGAGGACCAGCAGGTGTGTATATGTATATGTATGTTTATGTACATATATACGGAATGTAATATAAGACTGAGAAGCTAAGTGAAACGACACTAGTACACACATTTACCTATGATTTGCATCTCAGGAGGAATGGCAGTCAAAATAAATATGAAGTACAGTTCGTTTTCTTGCTGAATTCATACAAAGATAGTTAGTGCGACTCCACAATATGGTGACTCTAAACGGTTTTGAAAGTGCTTGTAAGAATCAACTGAGTCAGCCTCACTGCCTGAAATACTCATATAATTAGACAAAATCTATTTTGCCATCCGTAGGTTTGTATAAGATCTGCTCGAATCTCTGAGCCATCTGAAATCCCATCCGAGACAATGTATCTTATTTTCTTTAGTTTCTGTTATGATCATTCAGTTATATCCGTGGGTCTCAAAATGTAATCATGCACGTTTTTAATTGGTTTGCAGCCCATCATTGAGCATTTCTGTGGGACCAAAGAAAAAAATATCGTGGTGGGTTATTTTATTCTTCAGATTTAACATCACTGCGTCACATGATTTAGTGGAGATGGCTGTTTTACTTGAAACTCTTGGATGAAGAGTAAATATTATGCAACAAACTACGCTGAAAATTGTGCATATTGTGTGAAATTATTGTGTTTAACAAAGCTAATGTTATTATTATTATAACTAGTGAAATTCTGTGCGCATGTCAGGAGTTTAGTTATAACAATTAAACATTTGACCTTGTTGTACAAACTATTGTAGTGAGAATTTGAAGTCAGCAAAATTATATTTTCTGGAATTTCAGAGTACAAGATGTTCTACAAACAATTCCGCCTTTTAAATTCTTTATTCATCAGAGGAATGTATTGAAAGACATTACTATCACTCGTTTATTCGAAATTACACTTTTTTATGTAATAATTAAAGGTTAACTAAATTTTTCAGCGACTTTTTTAAGATCTACTGCTGAATGATTTCATAGATCGCAAGGCGTCAGTATCCACCAAAAGTGTTGTAGCTAACAAGACTGTTCAAGACAGATATGTTTATTACGTTATATCAAGGCGGCTGTTGTTGATGTATCAACCTGTGCATGTGGTCTACGTTCAGTTAACGGTCGGCAGACTCCTCAACCTCGTCTAGGCGGTGGTAAGCTCAGAAAAAAGGGAAGTTTATTTGTGCGGCTATAGTATAGTGTTTTGTCTACATCAGTCTAGATGTCAAACACTGCTGGCTAACTTGAAAGAATTACAAATAATTATGTCAATTTGTAGTTTGTAACCTTGACTATCGGAACTAAATCACTGACACCACCTATCAGAGCGTAGACACTTTAGTTATGAAAAGAAGCCAGAGTAATATTTCAAGAGTGCATTTCTCATAATAATCTCCTTATGAGCCTATTTTTTGTGTATGCATTCGGAAAAATTTGATTTGTTCCACGTTTGACCACCGGTTGATATCAGCAATAGAGTACTGGATGGATGCTTTGCTCTAGCTGGAGACTCACTGGCAGTATACACCCACTAGTGTTCGGACCAAGTACCTTCTGTTTACAAAGCAAGTCCGTAGAACATTTAGCCACTGGGAATCGACTCACTAGCCCATGAATTCTAACTTCTACCAATTGGTGATTTTAGAGCGAGCACCAGTCACTGTTATAGAAGTCAAAACATCAATCCAGTACGCCCTGGCTTTCAATGATTCTCTAGTAGATATCAATCAATAGATATCAAACTCGAGATAAATCAAATCCCTTCGTTTTTATGAATCTTTCATTGCCTAAAACAGTGACTTACAGTTAAACCAAAACAAAGTGGTTCCCAGTATATTATCTACAGAACTTTTAAAATGCATTACATTAAGTAAAAGTATGCGAAATTTATATTAAATAAACTTACTGTGATAGTCACAAGTGCTGTAGCTGTGTGTCGTTTATCCGGTGGTATAGCCTGATCTGTTGCCACCACAGTAAAGTAATAAACATTTTGTTGTTCACAATCTAATTCAACACGTGTTCTTAACTGACCATTTATCGGGTCTATATAAAAGCTTTCGACATCTTTTCGTGTATCATGTACAGGCCCCCTGTTTTTCAAATACTGTTCTGTATCGTCAGTGGAATTGTCTATCGATTTCGCAGCATCTATTTTTACGTTCTGCTGAGCTTGGCTTTTCCCGAATAACAGTGAGTCTTCTTTATGCTTATCAGTATAATTCTGAGCAGATGTAACTTGATTAGAAATGTACAATGGCTCTAAGGAATAAGTAACTTGTCCATTTAAGCCAGTGTCTAAATCTGTAGCGTGTATTGCATTTCGAACTGTGTTTATCATAGGCTCAGAGTTTAAATTCATTAGCATAACGTACGTGTTTGCAGCATTTTCTTTAACGTGTCCTCTATAATGTTCCTGTGTGAATTTTGGTGCATTGTCATTACGATCTTTTACAATAATTTGTAACTGATTACGTCCAACCAAACTGGATTCTGATGTACCGTCCTGACATCGAATTACCAGTGTATGCTGAGGTATACTTTCTCTATCTAAAGAGATTATTGTGATTAATTCAAATATTTTACGTTTTTGTACAAGTCTGTTTGTTGTCACTTCTCTTAGCTCAAATTGTTTATTTTTATTTCCTTCTAGTGAACATTGAATATTGTTTAAATCATCATCTAAATCTGTAACATGAACATGGCATAATATTTGACTTTCTGTAGATTGATTATTAAATTCATTTTCATAAACACTAATTTGAGCATAATTTGAATCTAACGGTTGTCCATGGTGATAAAATTTAATTATCGGTGGATTATCATTCATATTTAACACTGTTAGTTTAATTAAAGTTGAAGCAGACAACGCTGGTTGACCTTGATCAACGCATACAACTTCGAAGGTTAACTGTGATTGTACTTCATAATCTAATGGTTGACTTATTCTTAAACTGACACCTTCAACAGATGGTAATAGTTGTATATGATTCCGTAGATACTCTGGATTAACTTGATTTATCCCACTTACTGGACGTAGAAAATAACTTAGTCTTGCATTAGAGTCAATATCAGAATCATTTACACGAATGTTGAGTAACGGTACACCAGCCTTGTTTTCATTCACTTCAATGTGATATTCAGATTTTTGAAATACTGGTGGATTATCGTTTTCATCTAAAATCTGTAATAATAGAAAGAAAAAAGACAATGGTATAAGAAAATATTAAGTAAATGTAATTAACTGGATATCGTGGGGATTTGTATTGATTTATTTCCACATCTTTTATGTTATAATCTGAAATCAAGACTATTTCATCGTTATATTGACTATTGTAATGTTATATTGTTCAATCCTCAGTTAAAATCTGAGTGTCACCAATTCACGTTGTAACATAGTGTTCCAGTGGTTCAGTGAGAGAATGCTGTTCAACTACACAGGTGGTGAGGGATTAATCCTTGGCGGATGTAGTTCTAAGCCCTGCGTGGTCAAAAAATGAGCCCAATAAAGAGTGAAGGTTGAGTGCGAATTCAGCAACCCAACCGTCTCATAGAAACACTAACACTACTGAGACTTCAAAAGTCAGGCTTGAAACTCTATAGATGTTCAACTGAAATATCCCAGACTGCTGTCATAGACAGCATAATTAAGATGTATCACACAGTGAGACAGTGTTATTTACTGGATGACAGGGTTTCGAACACAGTTTATTATTGTTCATAACCATTTCATCAATTATAATCACACGACTTCGAAACTTCAGTTTTATAGTTTTCTTTGTCCTCTCCTATTTGTCGTAGGCGTGGTAGAATTTTCCAGGTATCTGGGACAGGTGTTGAATCATTCCTATTACATGTATTTGCAGTTGATTCGATAAACAAAGCTTCTGTTATCAATCTCTCCTTCCACCCTGTGACATTAGATTTTGTATGGCTGTGTGTAACTGCACGTAGTGCTTTATCTGAGCTATTCTCTATATTTCTTATCTTATTCGGGTCAACCAATCTAGATTTTGCTAGGTTTTTATGCTCGGCTAATCTGACTGCCCCTGTTCTACTAGTTTGTCCTATGTATTTGACTCGACAATCATTGCAGTCAGGGTGTTAGATAAACTAAATTGTTTTAAAGGCTTCACAGGATCCTTTAACCGACAAAGCTTGTTTCTAATTGAGTTTGTAGGTTTGAATGCCACTTTTATTCCTGCCTTGTTAAGAATTCTGCGTAAGGTTTCCAAGGTTCCTTCCTTGTACGGAATTACTACTAATGATTTAGATTCCTTATTGTTGCTGTTGTTTTGCGCATATTTGACATGCATGTCGTCATTAACAAATCACTTGATACAGTCATTCAGGTGCATTTTTAGTATTATAGAAGTATGTCAACTGTCTTCAGCTAGAAGTGATTCACATTATATTTTATTTTTGGTCCTAATTTTGTGATGAAAAATGATTATTATTTCATGAAATTAATGATAAAATAATGACAATAAGACTAATTAATAGTAAATTTGATTTAATTATAATACGATGCTAAATTATATGAGTCTGTAATTCAGATACGTGACACAAATGGTATCAGACTGAATGATTTTTAAACACTTTGTACTCTTCAGTGCAAACATTACATAACAGGTGAAAAACTGAAGGATATCATCTATCTAAGTGGGTGTGTAGGTCAGTCACTAACCATTCCTCACGTGGTCCACGTTTGATTTTTGGTGGATGCATTCCTCAACCTCGTCTAAATGGTTATAATCTAAGAAGGTTGGACGTCCAGCTAGCCTCTTCACCCCGTAAAAACACGACATATCACAGAAACTCCAAAGTTTAAAGTTTGAAACCATTTGTTTCCCTTGGGAAGCAAAAGAATGGAAGGAAATATCTGTTGAAGTCATACAGGAAAGTGATGCTATTATACAGTCACGAAACTAAGAAGAAACGGATTTTGAGTTTCAAATAATTTTTATTGTCTAATGTCTGTTTGCGATAAATTCATTGTTATTGTAGTACAAAGTAAGTCTGTGCTACTTTCATATTGAACAGAAATGGTTGTGTATAAACAAACACAGAAAAAGTGGCTTTTTCTTGAAAATTAAAACTGCATCATGCTATTGAAATGAGGTAAAGTGAAGCACTGATAAGAGTTTTCGCATACTATCCACATACTTCAGCCAAAGAGAGAGTTGAAATATCTGCTCCTCCAAGCCTGTCCTATGTTTTATCGTTAGGAGAAAAGGATACGTATTTTAATCATTTATTTTCTTCCAACACAAGAAAATTTATTTTGCATTAGGTCATTAACTTATGTTCATTCATTTCGTTACGCAATATGTCTTCAAATTCCCGAAAGATTTGAGTGAAAAAAAAAACAACAAGACAAAAATTCACATTCATTGAATGGTGAAGAATTTTGAAAAGTGGTCTTTTGTTTATTCCACCATTTTTACTTGTCATTATTTGTCTGCTAGACTTTCTATGTGAAATTAAACAGGAATTTTTTAAACAGTAGAAGAGACTATTGTCAGTCTGTAGATAATACCAGTTTCTGTACAGTTGTTGAAACTTACATGTCTGTGTTTTAATGAGTAGCCAGCCATAGTTTTGTGTGTTGGAAGAAACAAAGAAGACAGGACTTTAAGTGAATATAGAGAAGAGAGAGTTGATGAAGATACCTAACCAAAAACAAGTGTCGATCGCTATCAGTTGGATAAATCCAGAGGAAGTCACCTTAATCGCCTATCTAGAGTACATCGTTTCAGCTACAGGCGGAACGGATAAGGATGGCAAATCCAGGATCAAAAAGACAAGGCAGGCCTTCATTACTCTGAAATCAGTGTAGAAATCTGCTGCACTATGCATAAAGAACAAGATTCGGATTTTCAGTAGTAATGTCAAATCAGTGAATTTTTCCATATAGTTCAGAGACTTTGAGTGTCATCAGAAGCATTTCCAAAAGCCTACTGCAGACCTATATCAGCAGCTGCGTTCTCTGGATAATAGAGGTCGGATGGCCGGAAAGGATTAGCAGCAAGGAACTCTAGCAGGCAACAAACCAACCAGGAACCTGTTACTCAACAAATATGTAGAAGAAAATGGAGATGTATCGGATAGACACTAAGGAAACCGTTAAGGGGTATCACACACTAGTTAGGCCCTCGAGTGGAACTCAAGTAGGAGATGACGATTCGGAAGGAGTTCACGAATGATGTAGATGGGATAATGTGAGTAGGAGAGTTAATGGGCAATCGTGAACCCAAATAAAGTCAACTTCATGGGACAAGATGAAATGGAGATGTTCTGCTGAAGCCCTGTTTTCTTTTTGTAACCTAAGCGGTTAATAGTGATATATAAAACAAGATTTTCTGTGTCCCCTGATAAAGTGCATTTTATAAACCCAGTGATGATAGCAGTCTTAGATAAATGGTTTAGTCAGTTGAAGTCTCTTCAACTCCACTAATAAAGCAATAAAAGTCATCATTTTTAATGACCATGTCAAGAATAGACTAAAAGAGATGAAAATGGAAGAACTATTATGCACATTTGTATCAAAATAATCATGTAGAGAACAAATTGCAAAGCGGATTTCTTAAAGACCTAAATATACACACCTGACTAATCAACATGATGGGACAAAAAATTTCGAAACTACATTTAATACTGACTTCTAGCGAAGTATGAGACTAATTAGCTATATATGCTGCTGCGTTTTTCTTGTTCTTGTTCTCTAAAAAATATGCTAAAACCCTATGTACACCGCCTTTATTGTATAAGATTCATTTCGACTCTTAGGAAGGACAAAAGACAATTCTACGACACACTGGCCAGCAACTGCAGCAGAACAGGAAGGTGGCAGGTAAAACAGATCTGAGGACATCATATCAGATTACCAGGTCTTTATTCAGGAAGAAATCAACCCAGGCGAAACCTACAAAAAATGTTCAATGGAACCTGATTACCGAGAAGGAGGAACAACGAAAACAATGTGCTAATCACTTCAAATGACACTTAAATTAACCACCGCCTGCAACTCGCCCAGAAATACCACTACAATCAACAGCAAGCGCAGAACTGCCTGCCAATGGACACCAATCCTTCAACAAATCCGAAATCTTGAGTGCAATCTAGCTACTGAACGCCAGCCAGCCAGGCATTGGGGCCAGACCGAATTCTCGCCAAAGCACTGAAAACAGACCCAGAGACTGCTGCAGATGTGCTCACACCATTATTGCAAAAGATTTAGGAGGAAGAAAATGTGCCTACCGATTAGAAGAAAGGCTACCTTATCAAACTAACAAGAAAGGACGACTTAGGCCTCCCTCTGCAAGAACTGATGTGGAATAATGCGCTTGTCCACGCCAAGTAAAATACTAAGTCACGTCATCCTGCAGAGAGTAATAGATGCACTGGATGCAGAACTCTGTCGGCCAGAACAAGCTGGATTCAGGAAAGGCAAATCATGTGCTGATCAAATTGTAACTCTACGCGTCGTCGTCACAGAACAAAACATAGAATGCCAATCAAACCTCTACCTGAACTTCATCGACATCGAAAAGGCCTTCGACAGACAGCGATGACCGAGAAGTAATTTGGAAATACTTCAACATTACACAGAGCAGCGTCCAAGTCTATATCAACCTCACTGAACAGGTGTCTATATGACGACGCCACGTGTCAGGTGATCTACAACGGAAAACTCAGTGAGGCGTTCAAAGTGCATACAGGAGTAAGACAAGCTGGCTGGCTGCCTATTATCACCAACGATGATATTCTTAATTGGGTTGGACTGGGTTATGTATGAGACTGTGCGTTGTGAGAGAGGATACACGAGTACGCTTGACAACCAGTAAGAGGACTCTAGAAGATCTGGATTTCTCAGATGATACATGTCTAATGTCACACAAACTCGAAGACTTACAGGCGAAAACCAACAGGCTGTCAGAGGTAGTAGGCAGCGAAGACAGGATTCCAAGTGAACATCGAGAAGACGGAGGTGATGAAGATAATCAGACAACAATAACAACCAGCACCAATCGCCATCAACGGGAGAGATTTGATGGAGGTTATTTCCTTCACTTATCTAGGAAGCATCGTTTCAACTACAGGCAGTTGGAATGAATGAAGATGTCAAAGCCAGCCAGACAGAATTGGATAGACAAGATACGCCCTCATCAACCTGA